CCCCTCTGTTTTCAGCCCTTTTCCAAAAGTGTCTGTAGCTTTAAATGCTAATGAGCTGCTGCTGCTGGCCACGCCCCTCTGAGAGATGATTGGTTTAAAAAAACACAATGGTGCTCTGGGAGGAGATGCAGGTGATAAGGTGGCCGGGATTACCTTGGTTGGTGATTGGCTAATGGTTACACAAGCCAAAACATCGTTATGACATCATAAAGTTGCCAAAATCTGATCAGCTCATTTTCAGACAGGTTTTTATATAAATGGATCAGGACAAAAATAGGGAATCTTTGTTCTTGAAGCTTTCAGAATCTATTTACACAGAGGGGACACATGTTGATGTAGAAGGGACATGAAGAAGTGGATTTTGCATAATAGGTCACCCTTAAATTATTAAAGTTCTACTGTTGTGGCTTTTATTATGAATTTTTCTGGATGTCTTGAAGAGATGTGTCCCTTGTGAAATCAATTTACACACTCTTAATCTTAGACATGCGTGCAAATTGGGGTTGAGTATCTTGAGATTTTCAGAGAATTTAAGTTAAATTCAATTTCTCTTCACCTTAAATGCTTCCAAATTGTGTTATCCTTTCACTTAAAATGATGATTAAAATTACTGAAACTCTCCCTGCATTGGGTGCACCTTAGTAGATCAACACATTTAGCAAATTAAATGTTGGGCTTGGCAGGGAAACTTGAGCAAATGAGCAAAATCCCAGAACATGTTCCGTTATAAAGACTTCGGAACATCTTAGCAATATATCAGTCATAATTAAAGCAATATTGTAAAAACAACACACCCTGTGTTCTCGGTTCAAAGATGATTAACCAACCACAGACTGAGTCATGTCCTTCTCTTTGTCACTGACTGTTACAATGGAAACAACTGTGACCTTTAACGTTTAACCTTTATAACAAAAAAACAAAAGCTCCGAGGAGCAACTATATGCAAATATAACATTGCATCAATTATTGTCATGTTTGACATCACATATGAGCTTACATATCAGCCTTTCTGCATGTTTAGACTAACATATTAAGCACACCCCTATTGATGAAACAGACAGTTCAACGACATGAAAAAGGACCGCTTCCAATATAAGCATGAAGTAAATCAACACCTCCCTAAAACAGTACGAATACACTGGGAAATACATTTGAAATGCAATGTACTCCCATTGCATTTCACATTTTATTTTCATTTTAAAAACTGAAAATACTTCGCTCACTTTCTAAATGTATATTGAAATCAAAATATATTTTTCATCCCAGGGGAAAATTAGGTTTCGTACAGTTTATCGTTTCTTAATACGTGTAGAGTATAATATGTTTATCAATTTTTGTTTTAGTAGTAGATGTTCTTTTTATTTTATAATGTGTGCTCTTTGGATACTTTATAGATATATATATATATTTTCTTTTAATTTCGATATGAATAAAATGACGTCATTGTTGGGGAAATATTTTCCTCGGCCCATAACTTCGACCCAGTTTATCAGTGTGTAATGCCCTCACTGAGCACCTGAGCCTTGGGTGTGCTCTCAGTGTTTTGTCTCCCTGTTCCTGCCTGTTGGCGTCAGCTGAGAGAGGTGTTATTGTTCAGAATTGGTTTGGCAACCTCTGTGTCACCTCATGGCCCAGAACATGTCTTGTGAATTCTCCGGCCGAAGCTCCAAATAAACCATCAATGTTTGCCATCAAAGTTCCTGCTCTCCCCGTTTCTCTCTGAGTCCTGACTCCATTGCTTCAAAAGTTTCCATCACAGTCATCAGCATAAAGGGGATTCTGTGTTCCATCGGGCCTAATGTTATTCCACTAAATTGAGGGTTTGAACAGACCACTATCGCGAGAAGATTAACTGCTAGTTTAAAGAAACCTTGTCTGCAGCCTTTGCTAATACTTATTGGTTTTGAAATATTTCTATTTGTTTGGATTTCAGCTGTAGCGTTTTTATATAATATCTGTAACCATTTAAAGGTCCCATGTCATGCTTTTCCGGTTATTACCCGTCCCCTTGTGTGTTATGTAGCTTTTTCTGCATGTAAACGGTCTGCAGAGTCACAAACCCTCAAAGTACACCCTGTAGCGAGTAAAACTCTAACACAGAAAATACCTGTCTATGCTGCCCCAGAACGCCTCGTTGGAGATTTCTCTTTTTCCATTGTTTTCTTCCTGGGTTCTGTGACGTGCCCATACCCAAATGGACCCATTGGTCCAAATGGACCAATCTGTGGAGCTCCTCACATACAAACACTCTCTCAGCTAGTGGAGCCTCGCAGAAGCGAAACTGTGGCGCTTACACTGTAGGTGCACCGTTTAGGGTGCGGGGGGTGCGGGTGCTAGTGGAGACTCGCAAATGGGGGGTGTAGCCCCCTCAGCACATTTATTTTCACAACCAAATCTCCAAAACATTGAAAAGATCCAGTTGACACGATCAAAATCCTTTTCAGTGTCCAATGATAGAAGTGCTGTATCTGCTTTTACTTGGTTAGCGTAGATAAAATTAAGCCTCTGGAGTCTAAGGGTATTTTCTCGATTTGTAGATGTTTCCTTAAATCACCTTGTAAATATACTTCTTATAACATGGCACCCCATGTGTTACATATCAAAATGTTCAGGACAATCTCTGGTCTTGCTATAAATGCAAACGACTCACCTTAGAGCACTGTGTGATGAGATAAGTAGCTCTAAAGCTTAAAATGTGACAAATCCGATTTTTGGAAAATCTTCAAAACTCTTGTGAAAACACGTACTCATGTCATCCAATTGTTTTGGTGTTTTAGATTTGGTTACCAAAGTCTTAGGATCACAAAAGTAGTGAAATATTTGAATTACACTGTATATAAATGTGTAATTCATGTCTAAAATGAAAAAGATTAAATTCGAATTTTGAGTAAAACTACTTTCACCACAGATACGTTAGGACTGAATAATGACTTCATATTACATACCAAGGTTCATGTGATGTGTACAAATACAAATTGAACATTCAAACTTTTTTTTCAACCAACAATTTATTAGAAATATGTTTTTTTCAACCAACTATTTATATAAATATAAGAAACTGGAAAATCTCACTATTTAAAATATTGAACATCACAACTTTCAACCAACTATTAATTATAAATATAAAGACAGTGTCAAGGTCTTTGTCCGTCTACCAAGACAGTGGGTCTGGCTGCTGTGTAGGTGGGGGGTACGTGTGCTATACGAGACCTCCACGAGACCTCCTTGCTGGCTAGGTTGAAGGTGATGGCTGTGGTGGAGCCTTTGTGCTGAGGTGTATCTTGACCTGGTGGCAGCCGCAGATGGAGGTGGAGGCAGCTGTAGTGATGCTGGTCTGCTGGTCCTTGGTGGTGATGGCTCTGGTGAAGCCACGGTAGATCTTGACCTGGGGGCAGGCACAGATGGATGTTCTGGCTGCTGGATAAACGCCGCCTGTGGGCCACTAGGCCCAGGCAGCTGTGAAACGTCTCTGTAAAACAAATTAAAACGTAGGACAATAATTACTACTAATTTAATTGAATTAAAGTTCAAGTAAAATGTTGCTCAAGCACAAATAACAATGCACACATAAAAAGAACGTTTGGGAGGTGGAGCAGGAGTCTATCTCTCTCTCTCTCACACACACACAGGTATTTCCAGTTACTTTACATTCAGTATAAAATCACAGACACACATATTAGACCCTCCAGAAAAACGCAATTCTGCGATCGCAGAATTTACTGCATAATCAGCAAAATGGCGCAGATTTTTAAAAGGCCGCATATTTATCAAAAGGCCGCATAAGCCCCGCATTTGTCCACACAAAGTTGAGAAGAAAAAAAGTTAACTCGTCTTCACGTGACGTCATCAGCTCGCGCATCACAGAATGTAAACAACACTGTATAGAGCTCATTTAACAACGAACATTTCGCAACTTTCCGCATATTTCCTAACTTCCCGCAATTTCACCGCATAAAATCAAATANCGTCGTACAGGCCTATAGGTCGCTTTACATGGTGAACAAACAAACAAGACGAGGACACAAGAGAGGACACGAGAGAGGAGAGAAGAGGACATAAGAGAGGACACGAGAGAGGAGAGACGAGGACAATAATACTATATATAATACTGTAGGAGACGTGAATATCTCCATTCAAAGCGTATTGATAACACCTTTTAAATGTAGGCTTCTTATAACATGGCACGGGTGTTACATATCGAAATGTTCAGGACAGTCTCTGGTCTGCTATAAATGCAAATGATTCACCTTAGAGCACTGTGTGATGAGATAAGTAGCTCTAAAGCTGAACATTTGACATCGGAAAATCTTCAAAACTCTTGTGAAAATACAAATGTACTCATGTCATCCAATTTTGTTGGTGTTTTAGATTTGGTTACCAAAGTCTTAGGATCACAAAAGTAGTGAAATATTTGAATTACACTGTATGTAAATGTGTAATTCATGTCAAAAATTAAACAAATTAAATTGAGTAAAATAGGTGTTTATCACTCTACTTTCACCACAGCAGGGACTGAGATACATCAGGACTGAATAATGACTTCATATGACATACCAAGGTTCATGTGATGAGTACAAATACAAATTGAGCATTCAAATACAAATTAAATCCCCCAAAATAAACGTATTTTTTTAGCCAATATGCACCAAACCTTGGCGTCATCATTCATCCAATAATTTAAGGGGTTATCTCAGCTGCTGTGATGATTGAATTTCACAGAGAGACTGATATATATATATGTCTTCCTAATTATCTCACATTGACTCTGATATTAAGACAGATCAATGATTATGATCCACAAATGTTTTTAAAAGCAGTTTCCTGGAAGAAGCCATCAGGTATTTATGATATTAAGGGGTCCCTTTAAATTGCCTTTTCATAATGAACACATTTACCCAGGGTAATTAATATATAAACCCTCCCGATTTGTCACTTTGATTTGTATTTTAGTTAATTGTGAAAGTAATTACAGAGTCTTCCGTTTCCATCCTGGGTTCCTTATTAATTCCTTCTCCCCTGGATGTGATGAAAAGGAACCATAAATCCTGCTGATCGGTGAAGGCCAATACTAAATGGCTCCATATTTCACTTCTGCTTTAATAGAAATATTCATGCGGGGCCCTTAATGAAATTAAACCCACGGGACAAGAGGCTGTTACAATAATCACAGCAGCTGAGAAAACCTCTAAATGATTGGAGGGATGCGATGACGCCGAGGTTTGGCGCATTTTGGAAACAAAATAATACGTTTATTTAGGAGCGATTTTTTTTAATTTTCTGCCATTGCTCTATCGTAGCTTTCACATTAAAAAAAAATCATTATAAGTTAGTTAAATAAAGATGGACAGATATAAATATGTGTTAAGATAATGCAAGAAATTGAGCCTTTTTCATTTAGTAGTGAAGTTTACTTGAGTACGATTTGGGGGTACTTGTACTTTAATAAATAAGCTATATAATTATAGGTGAAAATACCAAGCAGAAGTATACAAAATAAATTAAATTAGATCCACTTTTAGTCATAATCCGGGTTTTAAATGGGGTTTAACGCACAAACAGTACCTTTTCTTGGTATATTTTGATGCCAATTCTTATCTTATATTTTACAGTGTCTTTCTACTCTTTCTCAGACTTCCTAACAGAGCCCCTCCTCCAACACACACGAACGCGCACATGACAAATGAGGGCAGGAGATAAGTTTGTGCACAGATGGAAGGCTGACAGGCAGGTAGGCCATCCAGTTACTTTAGCCGGGCCGGCTCAGATGATTGGTCGTGCTTATACCACGGCTTCCACAGATGACATTTTTTTATGTATTTATTGTCAAAGCACTTAAGATGTTCATTGCTATCGGGATGTTAAGAGCATTCCATGGAATATAACAAAAAGTGTTTCTGAAGTGAATTACCTACCCTTTAAGTACAATGTGGGGGTACTTGCTTTAATAATAAGCTATGATATAGGTGAAAATACCCAGAAGTATACAAAGCAATTAAATTAGATCCACTTATAGTCATAATCCCATTGCATAATCCGGATATTAAATGGGCTTTCACGCACAAACAGTACCTTTTTTTGGTACAAAGTATATTTTGATGCCAATTCTTATTGACTTACATTTTACACTGTATTTCTCTTACTTAGGTAAAATAGCTGAGTACTTCTTCCAAAACTGTCTAAATGATTGGAGAAATGCGTGAAACACTTCCGTTTGGGATGTTTATTTCTTACTCGTGGATTCATCTTCCTATTATACACACATGCATTTCCAAACATTTGGACTACCTATGTTGCAAATGTATTATCTTTTCAATTTACACACGGCATCTATTGCACGTCTGTCCGTCCTGGGAGAGGGATCCCTCCTCTGTTGCTCTCCCTGAGGTTTCTCCCATTTTTCCCTTTAAACTGTGGGTTTTCTCTGGAAGTGTTTCCTTGTACGATGTGAGGGTCTAAGGACAGAGGGTGTCGTATTGTCATACTGATATTCTGTACAAACTGTGAAGTCCACTGAGACAAATGTAACATTTTTGATATTGGGCTATATAAATAAACATTGATTGATTGATTGATTTATTTAACCTTTACAAAATAATGTTAATATTCTGCCATATTTGCATACTGTTCTGAAAGGGCTTTTAATCACAACATGTTATAGTATGAGTATATTTTGATACTTAAATGGGTCATTTCACACTGTATTTCTAAGTCAAATATCCAAAACGGTCTAATTATTGGAGAAATGCGTAAAAACACTCTGATTTGGCTCAAATAACATGTTTATTTAGCCTTCCACGTCATCAAAAATATTTTGTAATGCTATATTTGCTCTTTCATGCATAGAAATGGACCCAAATAAATGAGTTTAAAGGAAGTGAGCATCGTGATTTTAGGAGTAAGACATCAGTATTTGCCACCATAAATAATGTTTTCTCCCATGATTCCTCGCAGGACTACACTGTCTAAATGATTGGGGAAATGCGTAACACTCCAAAAAAAAAATATATATAGCCTTCTACGTCATCAAAATATTTGTTAATGCCATATCTGCTCTCATGCATGAACATTGAGGCTTTTGGGAATGTTACAAAATGGACGATGTCATATTTGCACCGATTCTCCATAAATTAGTGCCCAAAAAACACATATTAGTGAATGAACTCTCTGTGTCTCTTCCTCTCTTCTTTTTAATTTTTGTCCCCCACTATCCCTCGCAGCAGACTCACATCAATCTCTCCGTTATCATTCTGTAATTGGTCATGATCATCAAGGTCCACAATTAAATGGCGATCCGTTACTCTGAATCCACCCGGTGACTTGTTGATTTCCCCCGAGCAAATAAAAGTCCTGCTTCTCTGATGAATTGACAAAAACTAATCAGCTTTATTGGTAGACAGGTTAAGGGCAAACGGGTGTCAATAATTCTCATTTTGACCTCCTCTATCCATTAACTTTAAGTGGCTTATTAGACCCGGAGCGCACAGGCCTATTATCTTCATCTCCTCATCACACTTTCAATTACTACCTTTTTCTGCTGCTCGTTGGCTCAATCCGCGAGAATTTGACTTATTTTGACAGCCAAGCTTTTCTAGGAGGAAGAAAACCCAGTTGCATGCTTTAAGAGATTGATTCAAAACAATGTTACCTGTTTTACATTTGATTTGTTTCGCGTTTGAATCTATTCAATTACTACTTTGTGTTGCAGCTATCTGGCTCAATCCGCGAGACTTATTTTGACTGCAATGCTTTTCAGGGAGGAGGGAAATCCAGTTGCAAAAAGACGAAAATCCACTTACAAAACATAACAAATGAGTCCAGTCTGTCACACTTTCAATTACTATACTTTATTTTCTGCTTCTCGATGGCACACTCCGACTTATTTCGACAGCCAAGCTTCCATTGCAGGAGGGAAATCCAGTTGCAAGCGTTCAGGGGGTGGATCATATATTAAGAAAAAAAACACAAAAATCTCCGGTTTTTTATTTAATGTTTTTTAGCGATAACAAGTTGTATTCCATGCATCTGCAAAAAAAAAACCTGTAACGCTGTGCTGATGCATGCTGTTGGAGGCAGGGGGGTTAATCAATTCTGTTATATGGCTCCATAAGAGGCCAGTCTGTCACCTTGAGCTGCAGCGACAGAAGGAGCTTTCACTTCAATTTCCCTGTTGGCCTCTCCGGCTCAAGATGGTCCTTTTACGCACAAACCAAAGGCTCTTTATCTTATGTGTCATCTAAATTCAAAAAGGGGAAACGAGCCTGAGAGCTTTACGCTTTTATTGTGGTGTAAACATTCATGTGGTAAGGTTTAGCTTATTTAATATTCCCTATTTGTTAATAATATGTCATTTATATTCGTTTTTCAGGTTTAAAATATTTCTCTTTGAGCTCCAAGATGTGGTTTAAATTCAAGGAAATTCTGGGTTTAGATAATAAGCAATAAGAGGAAATCCTCTGCACGTATAATGCATATTTTTATATCAACAAAATACACATTTGTTCTCTTTTATAAGCCTATGGAGTGTGCGATGCTAAATCAAGTGTTACTTCTTCTCCTGCTAAATAAGTCATGAACATTAAAGCAATCACCACAAATGTGTTGCAAGTCAATGCAATATATGAAAATACTACAATACCCGTATCAACAATGTAATATAACACTGTGCAGAATATACTGTTTACCGTCTTCCTGCAGCTTTTCACTACTTTCTGGCTTCGATTCATTTTTTATAATGTTTTTTATAATTGGATTGAGACATTATTATTAGATTTTAATTCTTGATGAATGTGTGCTTTCTACTTTGCTAAATACTGTTTTTATTCTGTCTGTATGGTCTCCGATCTGATTCTTTTACTCCATACATCCCGTGATAATGAATTCATTTTCCTGTAATAATAGCGATATTATTTCCGGCGCGGTGGCTGATGGGACATCCCCCTGCAGACGGCTGCACCAATCACCTTCCTCCTGCAGGCACTAAGTGTCACGTGGAGCTGCTCTCTCGAACTCCGGACCACATCATAACTTTGGAGAGGTGGGAAAACACCAGTCTTCTCCTTCTCCTCCTCCTCAGTTTCCAGCAGGACGCACAGATGGAGAAATCTAAAAACTTCCGCATCGACGCGCTTTTGGCAGTCGATTCTCCCAAAGTGCAGACTTCTCCGCTGGCTCTGGTAACTTCCCTGTCTTCCTCTTCCTCCCTCTCCATCCCCACGTCTGGTTCCATGGACTCTTTACGCGCCGAGTCTTTACGCGCAGACTCTTTACGCACAGAAACGCCGTCTCCACCGAGGATTTCAAGCTGCGGATTGATCCCCAAACCTGGTTTCCTGAACAGTCCGCACAGTATGCTCGGATTACACCATCAAAGCAACGGAGGAATCCCCACCCAGGCTCTGTACGGACACCCCATGTACAGCTACTCTGCTGCGGCTCTAGCAGGCCAACACCCCGCCCTGTCCTACTCGTATCCATCCCATCATCACCACAGCGACCCCATCAAACTGACCGCGAGCACCTTCCAGCTGGACCACTGGCTGCGCGTGTCCACGGCCGGGATGATGCTGCCCAAAATGTCCGACTTTAACTGTGAGTATGAGTACAGGCCTTTTTTAGACACTTAAACGGTGTGATTGCACCCCAAAAAGTCAGATTTATGTGCCATAATTTAGCGAATATAGCTCTAGATATTAACACAGCTTCTGTTCTGGTGTTACCACTAAATCAAATAGTAATATAAGTACATCTTTGGTTATGTATGACGACCCAAACATAGGTAATAGTCTTCTTTATGTGTAAAAAACGGTGTGAATGCATCCAAAAAGTCTGATTTATGTGTCACAATTTAGCTCGAAAGATAATGAGATATTAAGACTTTTTTCACCCCTACTAAATCAAATAGTATAAATACATCTGGTTATGTTTTGGCGACCAGCTGATCCTAATAGTCTGCTTTATGTGTCATAATGATGTAATAAATTGCTCTACAAATAACGAGGTATTAAGAAAGCTGAAGTTATCGTTTAGGAAAAGGCAAACATTTCTTATTTCTGCACAAAATGTCCAGCTGGCCTTATTTGTAGCCCCTAAAACGATGTGATTGCACCCAAAAACACTGATTTATGTGTCATCATTGTTGCTATATATAGCTCTAGATACTAAGACAGCTGTTTTTATTTAAAAGGCAGATAGTTCTGTTGTTGCTTTAAAAATACGATTTTCTTTATTTATGGTGCATTACTTCCCTCACATATATGATGATGGAGGAACTCAAATGGATAGATGGATTGTTTTATTAGAGGATGCTCTGGCCCTTTTTTTTACCCTCAACTAAATCAAATAATAATATAAATACATCTTTCGTTAATTTAGCCAACCAAAGCCGATCTAAATATATTTGATAACACCCCAAAAACGTCAAAAAATGTGCCATACTCTCCTCTAATATATTAAGACCGCTTCTGTAACCTGCTATTTGTCATTTTGCTTCAAATTAGAGTGATTTGGTGATTATTTCCCACACACAAATGATGCTGTTCTGAATGGAGAGGCTGTCAGAGTGATGGTTTTTCAGAGAGGAACTAAAATGGACAGATAATGGACAGTGGGAAAGTGTCATCAGAGTGTGAAACCCACAGCGACCTGCGATCCCTCTCAGAGACTGCCTGCTTGTTTCTGCTCCTTCTAACAGATTTGTTCCAAATAGAGAAGCAAATAGCTCAGAAATTCAGAAGAGGACCTTGTTGCTTTGGGAACACAGAGGATCAGATTATTACACAATAACAACAGAGAGGTGTTCATTTATCCCCCTGCAACACGTCTTCGTTTTCAGTCATTCGTTTTGCACATAAATCTCCTTTTTAGATGCATTTAATGCCAGGAATGCAAGCAAAATAAAGGTTCTATATTGATGTTTTTCTGTCTTTCTTGCAGCTCAGGCACAGACAAAACATCTGTGATTATTCCTGTTAGCCATCATTAGCAGGCTTTTCGTTTCGCACATACATCTCCTTCTTTAGATGCATTTTACGCCACGAACAAACAAGTACTCTTTAGGTATTATATTGATGTTTTTCTTTCCTTCTTGCAGCCCAGGCGCAGAATAACTTGCTTGGTAAGTGCAGAAGACCCAGAACTGCTTTCACCAGTCAGCAGCTGCTGGAGCTGGAGCATCAATTCAAGCTGAATAAGTACCTGTCACGACCGAAGCGCTTTGAAGTGGCGACCTCCCTCATGCTGACAGAAACTCAGGTAATTTACTGCTACTCTGACTCATTTTAAAACATCTCACCTGACCGCCCTCCCTTTTTAGAAATTGTTTTTTTTTTTAAAAATGCACTCAATTTTCTGGAAGTAATTTAGAAGCTATAATTATGTTTTTGTGTCTTGATGGAAATACAGCCTTCCTGGTTCTGAACAAAGAAATGTTCAGAACCAAATGTTCCGTAACATTTAAAAATACTTTGGAACACCTTACAGCTCTACGTCTTTCTATTGTAGCCTATTTTCCTTTGATTTAATGTATTTTTCAATTACATATTACATACCTTTGTAAATAAATGTTTTCAGTGTAGGATTATTTTAACACCGCGGAGGTTAATGTCAGCTGGACTGTCGACCTTTACGCAATCTTTACGCACGTGTGGCTTCCTTCTACAAACCATAAAACAAAACAAAACAAAAGGGTTTCAATATTTCCTGCTGTGATTTTATGAGCAATAACACCTTACAGCTCTACGGTATGAAGGTCCATCTCATCTTATACCTCACAGTACCTCTTTGCGGGAAACTCATGTTGACATTTACGCGTATTTACGCACAGGTAGCCTCGTTTGTTTAAACGACTGAAACTAAATTATATTTCTTCTCCTCAGGTTAAAATCTGGTTCCAGAACAGACGTATGAAGTGGAAGCGGAGCAAGAAGGCCAAGGAACAGGCGGCTCAGGAGGCCGAGAAGCAGAAAGGAGGAAAAGGAGGCCAGGACAAATCTGAGGGAACGGATAAGTCGGACTATAAGAGCAAGACGGACTCAAAAAACGGAAGAATCAGAGACTTTAGAGACAGTGACGACGACGACGAGGGGGACACCTTCCTGTACAACTCGTCAGACTGCTCCTCAGAGGACGAGGCGAATCACACCAGTGATATCAGTCCGCAGCCTTGAAGCTTGGGAAAAACGTGGAGATTTGTAATGACTGTGGGGGGGTTTCGCTATATAAAAAAAAAATGCATGCAATCCAACCTCTGATCACTTCCTTGGAGCATTTGTTTGTCATGAAAAAAATAGGTCAAGAATATAAGATCATTGTGTCATAAAGCAGCAGATTTAGGGTTTATTTCAGGAGCATCTCCACTGTAAACTGTTGCATGGCTTCAATGCAAACTGCTGTGGTTCAGTAACACCTCACAGCTCATACAGTAAAAAGTCATTTGTCTTTTTGTTCCTTGTGGTGTTCCGTAGCTGAAAAACAATGTTATGTTTATTTTTCTACACTGTATTTATAAATCCCAGTGCATGCTAACTTATTGTTTAGCGTCTCTCATGGTGCAGAAACAATGTGAAATAAAATGTTTTTATATAAAAACTCACATACAATATCAGCGAAGGTTTTTGATTTTTTTAAGAGAAAGTAGTCCCTTTGATTTACGGTGTGCTGCAGCGCGGAGGCACGCAGAGGCTCGTGTTTTCCGCCTCGCTCTGACAGGTTGGGTCATGGGAATCTCTGTTAATAGGCTGTCGGATCTGTGCAAACGGTCAGAGAGAGCAAACAGCGGACTGAGAGGAAACATTTCACACCACTATAGCAATGGCTGTTGGCGTTAATAAAGCTGTGAGTCGGCCTGGGGGAAACTCTGCGGCACAGGAACCACTTTAAAACTTAAATTAGAATAGAATATAATCCTTTATTGTCATTATACAGGTACAATGAGATGAGTAGAGCTACTCCTTTGTTTTAAGGTGCCATCAAAGATACAAAAAAACAAACAAGAGACGTACAACATTCAGGAGAAGACAACATACACACAACAAGCATTCATACTTCAATATTCAGATCAAGTTAAAGTGCAGGAATATATCGGTTTAAGTACAAATAAATGTTAGTATGTGTATATATATTGTGTTAAGCCTGGATACAAACACATTTAAGTTGTTTTATTTTTTATTTACACGAGCAGATTTAGATATTATTCTATATATAACATATGTGTTGGAGTTGAGACCAGTCTTCGGTCTTCAGACCACTTTTTAAAGGTCTTGGTCTTGACTACAAGAGCCCAAAAGCCTAAAGGTTTTGTGGTGGAATAAGTACTCAGATATTATATGTACGGTGGCCTCCAGGAGCACATGCATTACAAGATACTTCAATTAGGAGAAACACACTGCAGCTTCAGAAACGATGCAAATATAAAAACACAAATGTGCCAAAACATCTTCACCAACTTCACGAAAAGTGCCCAGCTTTTAGAAGACATTCACAAACTAGCGCCACTTTTTAATGTCCCCTGGTTTTAAGCGTTGAGCGTTTTATACTTGCACGATTTCATTTTTGCAGTGCTTTTTAATAAACGCTGTGTTGTCAACGACCTTCACCTCTAGGCCACCGTATATTATTCAGTAAAAACAGTTTAGCAGCCAAATATATTTTAATTGTGAAAGTACTGAATATCCAATATATGACATCACTGGTTTGAAATCAGGTGAATATCCTTTTGACTCTGCAGCCTGTAAAGGTCAGGTATTTCCATCCAGAGCACATTATATGTATTAGTTGATTTAACTTGATCAATAACAACCTGCAAAAGTAACTAATGTTGTGTGTTAAATGTTTAAAGTGGCATAACATGGAATCACTTAAGTATGAATATCTCTAAATTGTACTTAACTACAGGCACCACTGTTTATCCAAATATATTACATTTTGTTACGTTTTTTTTAAATATTAAAAAGGGATTTATTTCAAAAAATGCATTAAAAAAATGAACTGTAGGTGAATTGAGTTAGATTCACTTCCTCAAAAGTGAACAAAACATCCCAGCAGCCTCATTTTCCTACCTGCACACAGCGTTACTTATTCAGTAATGACCTTTCGCTATGTTTAGGCTGACACTGTGACTGAGCCTTTAAGGCCGCTTGAATACCTCGAACAGGTTTACAATGTGCATCTTTACAGAAAGCACTCTGTATTATGTTCCTCTGTTCTTCCCGCAGTCATTAGTGTTGAACTGTAGCCGGGGCTGAGTGATCATGTGCCGTTTGTAACAGGATTACTGAGCAATCTGTCGGTTATCTTCAGATGTTTGCTTTAGCAGAGTTCAGCTCAGGGTCAACCACAAACAGAGCTGCAGGTAAACGGAAACAATGACACAGTGAAACCATTGATCCCAGAATCTCCACCTTTTCACCGACTTCGTCTCCTGTTTTCAACTCAATGGTCTCGTCATTTCTTAATGAAACACTAGCAGGAAAAGGAGACAAATCAAAACAGCTTTTAAACGACTAGTTCTCTGCTTTTCACAGAATATTCTCCTTCATTTCTCACTAAAACACAGGCAAAAAGTCTCATTCACCTTCAACACGAGGGGGCTTTGGGGACATTTCCTCAGGTTGACCTTGGTGTCCCATGTCTGACCTCAGGTGGAAAAGCTGAGTCCTTATCCACTCAGTGTCTCCACCTGTTAACAGACTCATTCTCTGGGTTTCACAGAATATTCTCCTTCATTTCTCAATAAAACACCGAGCGATATTCTTTACAAAAACCTTGTGTTGGAAGCGGCAACATGTTTGTGCTTTGGGGACATTTCCTCAGGTTGACCTTGGTGTCCCATGTCTGACCTCAGGTGGACAAGCTGAGTCCTTATCCACTCAGTGTCTCCACCTGTTAACAGACTCATTCTCTGGGTTTCAACGCAGTAGTCTACATCATTTCTTGATAAAACCCTCGGAGAAAAAGTGGAAATTCTCTACGAATCCTCCAACTTTTAACGGAATTATTCTCAAATGTTCACCTAATATTCACATTTTCAACAAAACAGGAGAACAGTGGATACTCTTTACAAAAACCTTGTGTCACACATTTACCTTTCACATTTTTATTTTATTTTTTAAATGTATTTATAGAAGGACCATGCATACAAAAACATTAATCTCAGCAAAGAGAAGAGATGCAATATGCCAGATTATAGCTAATAGCTCATTTCCATCTGTGGTCCTCATGTTTGGTGGCCGATGCTTGACCTCCAGCCTCAGATTGATCCATGGAGCTAATTAATAGGAGCAAGTATCAAATGTAACAGAGCGGCTCTGCTATGCTAACCATGCCGGAAGACACTGATCAGCAGGGAGTGTAAACCCTGAATAAACTACAACACCACGGGCTCATCAGTCTAATAACAAACATCTGCCCCAGGCGGTGGTGCTCAAAGCGGAGGAAGTCTTCAGTAAAGTAGGTTTTATGTTGAGTAAGAGTGTAACTAGTATGTACTGCCTCCATGAAGGCGGGAGAACAACGCTAATTAGTTCCTTTCCACAAAAATCATCAACGCTTTAGGGAATAGGTCTGATATTTATTGAAGCTTTCACTCCATATATACAGGCACCATTATGGACAATGAGTTTGGGGTAACGCGTTGAATCAAATATCCAAAAAACAGCTTTCAAATTGTCGTGAAACATAAACATTTATTGCAGGATAATAAATCTGAATCAAGAGGCAACATGTTCAAATCAAATGGGTGAGGACTGCTGCGTCTCTGAAGCCCACATTTTAATTAATGGTTAGAATTATGTACAAGGAAACGACACACAAGTCCTTCGTGTGTGTGTGTGTGTGTGTGTGTGTGTGTGTGTGTGTGTGTGTGTGTTTTATCTGATCCGGATGGTTACTATGGTGACCGGGAACACCATGGGTGTTACAAAGTTGACTAAATCATCCAAAATTCAATGAAAGTGGTGATCAGCAATTGTACATGTTCAAATGTCTACTGTGAAGGATATCATAAAGCCTTAATGCAATCAAATGTAAAAACAAAAAAGTTATGATTGATGAAAATAGTAAATCGGTCAGATTTGACCCGAAGACAACAGGAGGGTTGAAGGACCGCACATTTGAGTGATATTTACCTCCATCTGTTCCTGAACTCTATTGAGGGGAATCTGTTGCACCTGAAATTACAGCTGACGGCAGGAGAGAGAACAGATTGAAAATCTGAAAGCAGCATGATGAATGGGTATTGAGATGAAAGTAAAAAATGGACGCCCATACTCTGTTGATTAGATGCAGCTGGAGAATAAGAGAAATGAATGAATGTAAAGGTCGTCTCCCTTATTGAACATTTAGCTTCATACAATAGATGACACTGCCTCCATCCCTACAGTCTATATACAAACAGAAAACATATTGGATAATATCAGAGCCATTGTGTGCTATTAATAGTATAAATAAAAACAGTGATGCGGCAGACATGGGCACATGGGCTGATTTAATTCTTTATCAGCTGTACAGTGTCTCATCTTCCATAATGACATGACTAAGGTTTCTCCTGTTCTCTCAGTCTGAAAACAGGGATGTGTTAAACATCTTTAAAACTTTTCTCTTTAACTTATTCTGCCGAAACAAATAAGCAGTGTGCAAACAAAAAAACAATGCTGTTGTTGCTATGCAAACAGTCTTAACATCCATCTCCCGTCCGTCCGCCTGCAGAACATAATGATAACGATGATAACGATGACGACAGGACATTTTATTCTCCTTTTACAGAATGACATGTATCTCAGACCACAGTCACACAATTGTTGTTTGTTTAAAGATTCTTACAAAATGTTTACTATCTTTCTGTTGCAATGGTTATTTACAGTGCTGGGCTGATCTAACCAATGGTTCTATGTAACTATAACATATTATAAAAGGAAGGCCACATTCAACCATCAGAGCCTGTGGTCACACTGAGAAGAAATACCTCTGGATTTACATCTTCAGACGACTCAAATCATACGGTGATCTCTTTGTTCTAACCTTGATTCAGATGATTTGAAACCTTTGTTTTGCATAAATCAGGGACATGGAGAGGACATATCTCAGTATCAGCATTAAGCAACTACAAAATGATCAGAAATGAAAAATGTCAAAGTAAAAACTGTTTTGTATCTGAACACATCTTTGAACAACAGAAAACACTCAGAAACTGATAGTGGTTCAGATGAGTTCCATCCAGTTTGGCTGGTTAGAGGGGCTCATCTGGTGGAGGACAGCCTGATGGGAGGGAAACAGACAGGACATGAGTGACCCCAACATGTTAACCATTGAAATGAAAACCTCGATGTCCCTTTCACCAACACATCTCCCAATCAGTCATTTATACATATTAGGATAAATCAGAACGCAAATGTGTATTTACATGCAAAAACACCTGCCACAGTTTTTGATCATAGATTATTTAGATATTCTTAACAATCTGGTTTAGAATACCTGTTCCAAAAGCAATGTTAATTGGGGATTGAATTAATTTAAAGAAAAAATAAAGAGCGACTGGTATCATCATTTTGCAGGTCTCCCTTGAAAAAGAGATCTATGATCTCAAGGGACAATCTGGTTAAATAAAGGTTTGAAATCATGAAATGTTCGAGAGTGTTTCTGTCTATTACTTGAAGTGAAATATGATTGAAATGCATAGACATAATTTCATTTGTTTTGGAGTATTTGGAATGTTCAAGATCACGACTAGGGTACAGCGTTTTGCCAACTAAATCATTTTCAGTTTCTTTAAACAAACTACCTCTGTCAAAGCTCGGAACACGAGGAGGACGAACATTAACAATTCCTTCGAGCATCGAGGTCAGCCAAAATAAAAACTGTTGAAAAAGAATGATGTTGTTGATGGGGAAAGTGAATCAACTTTGACAGTGTGAATGTCAAAAAGATGAAGTAGAAAGTTGAATCATTCTATATCACTGACTTCTGTTCATTTATATGGATCTGCACGTTTGCTCATGAATGAAGAAAAATCCCCGTAACTTCATTCTATAAAAGCCTCAATATTGAAATACCAAAACATGGACAAAGTGTTAAACAAGCCAAAAATATACAGCCCATATGACTGAAAGCAAGGTGTTTCTCAACCCAAGTACCATATACTACATTTCATTAGGAAAAACTACATTTAAATCTATATATACAAATATAAATGCTGCAAATTTGCTATATCAGCATAGTTGTAAGAACAGCAAGCAGGAAATCAAAGTGAAATGTGATCAAATCATTCTCAGAGCTGAGCAGTAGCTGCAGAGTTTGGTTAGAGACTGACAGGAAGTGGCTTTGGGTAGAACAAAGTATTAAATACACGATGATTCATTCAGAAGACATTCAAACTGAAATAAGAGCAGAGCAGCCTGGGAGGACATCTGTGTGAGCTTTGCTGTGTGTGTAACTGAGACCCACAGACATCAGTGTGTCGTGTACATGGATGTGAAGTTATTTTAGTGCGTATTTACGTGCGGCTTCCCTTCTTTTGCATGGTTGGTTTAGCAGCCACTTTAATGGCCACCATTAGGATCTGCCGTAGGTGCTATATAAGGGGGAGGCCGGGGGGGTGGAAATGTTTATGTGTTTGCCAGTTTCACTCATGGTCCGGCGTGGGGGTTCACCGGTCCATCATGCTGAGGATCATCTCTGGCGTTAGGTCTCCGTTGGCGGCGACCGCTGTCTCCTCGTTCACAGCCAGCTCCACAGTCTCCAACCCCCCCCCGTCCAGCCCCTCCACCGTCAGGGCTCCCTCCTGCTCCAGGGGGGCTGCAGAGCCGTCGCCCTCTTCCTTCTTCACGATGATGTTCTCCACCGCTCCGGTGCTCTCGTCCTCCACCTGAATGATGGCAGCAGCTGCAAGCACAAAGACTCACCTCAGATCTGCACCGATATTCGGTTTATTTTGTCTTTCATGTCAAGACTAAGATTAAAGCATTACTTTACCAGCTAAATAAAAAGGAAATGTAATGCCTGAACCTTTGCCAAATCACAGGTCAGTACCATAATGCTGGAATGAAAGACATTTTCTTTCTGCATTCATCAAAACGCTGTGTATGTTGTCATAAAGCATTGGAATGGGCCTCTAGCTGAGATCAAACGTGCACAGAATTGTATCTTTTTGCCATGGTGCAAAAAAATTGATATTTGGCAACCAGTCTTGTCAACATTAACCTGATTGTTCTTTGATTTTTAAATTGAAATAATTGTTAAATTCTAGATCCGTCTGTATAAGTGTTAGTCTGATAAAGACTATGTTGTGTTTTTAAGATCATTGTTACACGTGTACCTTCCGAGGACATGGGCTAATAGCTGAATCTAATCATTTCTACTCTTTTTGAAATTAATGTATTTTTATGCCTTGTTTAATTAAGACACACTAATCTAATCTAAAACAGGAAGAATGGATGCAGGAGGGCAGCAAAGATATGTAGTTCTACAGTAGACTGACACACATAATAACAACTCTTGTATACAACGTCCGTTCTGAAAGCTTTTCCCAATAGATCACTACAGACTGCCTTTGTTTGTGTAATGTACGGTTCAGCAAATTAACATCCAGTCTGAAATGTTTAGGTGAATGGTTATCACCAGCTGCATTATAGTGATAGTTTCAGTCAGCAGTGTGTCCCTGACTGACAGGAATCACACTAAATATAGAATTAGGGTTAGATATATATATACAGGGCATGTGCTTTTACAGAACATATACATTATATAACACCCCCCCACCCATAGACTAAATGCATCCCGTATCCCGTGAAACTTCTCTATTTTCTTGTCCAATCACTTGCTCTCACCAGAAGCGGCAGCCTTGGCAGCCACCTGGGCAGACTTGCTGGGTGTTGGGGGCTTGGGGGTGTTCTTTGGGGGTCGGCCTCGTTTTCTCTTGACTGGTGGCTCGTCAGGAGCCGGGACTGGGATGGCAGCAGGGGCCTGGTCCAGTTCCATGTCCTCTAGCTGCTCCTCTTCTTGTAGCAGTTCTTCTTCCTCACCCTCACCCTCGTCCTCCTCATCCAGTTCTCCATGATCCTCCTCTGCATGACAGCGAAATAACACAGTCAGATGTCGGATAAACAAATGAGAAAAGAGCAAATGCAGCACCATGCCCGCAACTGCGTGCAATATAAAATTCTCACCGCTGTCATCCTCATCTCTCCTGGTCCTCATCTTCCTCTTCCTTCCTCTCCTCCCTTTCTTCGGGGTTGGAGATCCATTCTCGGCATCATCCACCTCACCGTTGCAGTTTTCAGAGTGGCGAGCCATGGTGTTCTACAAGAAAATACTTTTAGATGGGCTGCTGACTGTTATTAAGCCAATAGAGTTCACTTCAGATGGGAGTGTGTTTACCCTGCGAGTGAAGGTCTTGCTGCACTTGGGGCAGACAAAGGCGGTGGGGACGAAGTTGGGGTCGTGGTAGCGTCTGAAGTGCATGTCCAGCAACTGCTTCTGTCTGAAGGTCTTCTCACACTGGCTGCAGGCGTACGGTTTCTCTCCGGTGTGGGTTCGACGGTGCATGACCATGTGACGCTCCTGGAAACAGAAGCATGGGGCACATTTGAAAAATAAAGTTACACATTTGAACAAAGAGAACAAAACTTACATTTTATTTTATACAGAAAACATTTTGGTTTGACATGAAAAGGTGAATATGAGTTTTCAGTGTTACAGCCTTTATATACAGGTATTTACTTTTAGATCTGTTAAAAAAACAACGTTGTGTTTGAACCCACACATACACTGTCTGCACAGTTATTAGGAAAGTTGTATTTTTGAGGATTTATTTTATTATTGAGCAACTACAGTGCTCTCGGTCAATCCAAAAGGTGAATAAACTTCAAACCTAAATATTTAGGAAAGTGGAGTTTTGGCTTTCTTTGGAGAATATCTCTGTGTGCACAATTAGTGGGCAACTATTAGTGTACAGTATGAATATGCAACTGAATAAAAGATAAAATATATCCCATCCCACTTCATCTGTTAGTGAGAATAATAAAACAAACAACTCAAAATGTACAAATAAATATTTCTGACATTTCAAAAAATAAAATCAGTGACCAATAGAGCCACCCTTATTTTCAATAACAGTCACAAGCCTTCCATTGGTGGAGTGTCTCAGTTTGTTGATCTGTTGACTATCACCTGTTGCCGCAGCAACCACAGCCTCCCAGACAGCACTGCAGGATAATGGCTTCCTGGTGGCTTCACGTTTGATTCTTCTCAGATCTTTGGCAGTTATTTGCGTCTATTCTCTCAACACGTTTCTTGCCACCCTGTTGACTATTTGCAACAAACTTTTGAGGGTTTTCTGAACACGCCTCAATATCTTTGTCATTTCAAGATTGCTGCATCCCTCTGAAATATTTCATGTTTTTACAATTTTGGAGTTAGTTAAATAAATAGTTTGGCCCATTTTGCCTGAGGATAAGAAGCTGCCTAATAATTATGCAAACATTGATATAGGGTAGGGGTGCCCAACCAGTCTATCGCGATCGACCGGATATTCCCAGTCGATCGCGAGATGTGTCTAAAAATAGAACAACAATATTCTGTTTTATCGTTAATGTCCTATAACATAATCTTCCTGTTCCAGAATAATGCACTTGAACGCATCAAAGCTTTGTGATTGGCCGGCGTGACCCCACTGTGTCGGGCGGTGGCGTGGTGGGCGAGGGGAACGGTATTTCGTCTGACGTTGTCAGTGTCAACAGGAGTGACAGTCCGCACACACAAGAGGCTTCTCAGAGGCCCTCTCTCAAACTCAACTGCAATGAACTTTAGATAAAATACGTCCCCAAGACTAATACTTACAAGAACTAATAAGACGGTTTCTTTTACCGTTATGAAAACCAAACCATCAATGAAACAAGAACAAGGTCAGACAATGGACAAAACCTGGAAATTGAATGATATTGATTTTACGACATGTTTAGCCTAATTAACTAAATATTTCTTTTAGTAAACCGCATTGTTTTTTCACATTAAAAAAAGAAGAAGTTATATAGCGCTATTGATAGCATGGCACCCTGAAATAATAGCGCCATAATGGCATGCACTCAAAAACCCATAGCAATGACAGAGATGAACTAAAACACTAATTTCAACACAAGGGCCTTGTTTTTGCGACGAGTCCAATAGGTACAGAAAACACATCAATCCTTAACGAAATGACATTAGGTGGTAGTATAAATACCGTTTATAATGAACCCATTTCAAAACGCAGGTCCAACATGAAAGTCTAACACGAAGCAAACCGAGAGATCAATGCAGGCGCTACCATTACAAATGAGCACCTAAAACTTTACGAGAGCTAAGCTAACCTACATTACCAATCTTTTTTCCACATTTAGCTGGTTACCCAAGGTCTCTATACCAGGACCATCATACTCTACTCGGCCGCATCGAAATGGCCGCCGTCGAAAGAATAACAGAATGATGCAATTCTCTTCCGTCCTTAACGACCTGGTCCGCGTCCTCGTGTCTCGCCTGTCGCTATCCCATAACGTCAAAAAAACCGAATATCTAATAGTCTTGTAAAGTTTCCCCTGTGTCGGTAACCTAAATTCGATACCAATTGAGTAGAGCAACAATAGCAAAAATTACGGTCACTCTGTCAAAACTGGTCTGTCTGCTTCATGCGTACAATCGTAACACACGATGGACGGCCGGTAACAAAACAAATGCAAAAGACAACTATTGCCAACCCAAACCAATAGAAAGTCACAAACCCTCCACGCCGTGGCAATCAAGACAACAGAAATGCTAGTATTTGCTACACAACCTACACGCGACCCTATTAGGAATTATTACAAAAAAAATCCCCGTAATATTAAATGTACAAAAATATCAAGTAGACTTAAATGAAATTTATTTTGAATATAACTAAGACTGTGAAGAAGTAGGTTGAGGTCCTCATTGAACGAACACGTCTCTTTTTAAAATTAAAATGGAAAAATCTTCACGCTCTCTCTCTTTTTGTTTTTTCTTCTTTTTTTAGGCGCCCCCACCGAGCGGAGCGGAGGACAGGAGGTGTATGAGAATAATAGGCCATGACCTGTTAAACAATAAACAGATGACCTTGGCTCAAACTGGGACGGTGACACGAGTGAAGAGGCGGGGGGGCGGGGACCAGATAGGTCATGTCTTCGCCGCCTACGTAAAAGGACTAGCTGTTGTCTGGCTGTGAATTGTAAAGAATTGCTTGTACGGCCTGTGCCCTGTTAAACACTTGCGTCAAGACGGAGAAAAATTGACTTAAATAGGTTAGTTAAACCAGTTATCTTACTCCCGCTTTTTGCAGTGAACAGGTGGCCTGTTCAGTTAACTTTCTAATCAACAGGATCATAACATTTATTTGCAGCCTGCTCCACCCTGCACACAAAAAGCGTGGACTTATGTCATGTCACTATTGTGCATGAATAATGAAAAATTACATGTTATAAACAAATGACATGCATAGTAGTATTAAAAAGCAATGCCCCCTAATGGGGCGCGTCGTGGGACGGTTCCGGAATTTGCATCCCCTTTGTACTTGAGTCAGACTTTGAGTGTCCTAGACGACGGTTCACGTACATTGTTTTTGAAATTAGTCTTAGTTTGGGAAAAAAAACAACGAAAAATCATCGCATAATTTTCTTTACGGAAATTATCCCTACGTTCGCTTGTGAGCAAAAATTGTGACTTAACTATATCCCTGATATTAGTTAAATTTGTCTTGTCTAAATTACAAACATAAGAATTGGAAAACATGTATCATATTACTTAATTCAATTGGGTTGATTAGTGAATGTCGACTAATTAATGCACTAGATTGAACTCAAAAATAATATAGTTTCTGGACAACTTACGAAGACAATAAAAATGAGCAGGGGTTTTCCGCGGCAGACGACGAGGCTCCTTACGATGAAAGGTGAAGCGGCCCCAGAAAACTTTCTGCAATACACAAAGCGTCTGCACTGACGTGCGATCTACGATACCATCGTCGGGAACGAGAACACAACGCCGGGACCACTTTACCTGACGACACGTAAATCGACAGGAAGTCCAGGAGAGAACAACCCCGCCCATCCCTCTAATCTGCCCTTAAGCAGAGCATCGCAAAACGTGCAAAACTTTAACGACGAGGATGTAATCGGAAGAAGCTATTCGGTGCGAGCGTAACGTCTACTCTGTCTTACACTGAAACTACCTAAACTATGTTTATTAGAGGAGGCATTCACTCACTTTTACTATATAAAACAA